GCCTCAAGGGCCCCGCTGCGCAGGAGACGCCCCTGAGAAACCGAGCCAGGACCAGCGAGGGCAACCACCGAGACCCCCTTTGTTTCGGGTTGAGCGAGACTCCGATCTCGCCCATCGTCTCTTGGAGCAGCTCGCTGCTCGCCCCAGCCTGCGACAGCAGTGCGCGAACGTCGCAGCCCCCCCCGAAGGAAGGCGGAGTCCGACCTGCGACGGCCAACTTCAAGATGTCATCGGCGAACAGCGAGATGCCCACGTCGGTGCTCAGCTCGTTTGACTCCAACACCGCTGCGCAAGCCTGGCAAGGCGCGCGCCCCCTGGCCGCGCAGAAGGGACCCAAGCCTTTTGGTAGTAGAAAAGAAAACCACGCGCGGCGTTCGGATGGCCCATCGGGCCCCCAGAAGCCGATCGAATCGCGATCGCGGCGTTGCCCGTCGCAATCGGGACGGCGCCCGCGGCGGTTCTTTGAATCTGAAGACGGACGCCCTCAGGCAAATGAAACAATGGCAACATATCCAGAATCATGTCGCGAGACACACTCGAGAAAGCATTCGTCGCTTCCTCATTGATGATAACGTGGGAGAGGCCTAACTTCTGCAATCTCCAGGAGGCGCAGGCGCGAGTGGCGATGGCATATTCCCGCCTGCGTTTCTTGCCCCAGCAAAGCCGTGGCAAACATAAGGCAAGGCCTCGCGATGAATGCGAGCACGAACCCGTACATGAAAGTTCCACGCTTTCCCCAGCGGGCAGAAGAGATGACTCCAGCGGGAACCCTCGGCGCCAGGCAGACCATTTCGCTCGCCAAGTCCCGCGCAAGAGGGGGCGTCGAAGATCAAGGGCGCCACGTGCGCCCTGCGAAAGACAGGCCAGCACGTCCGCGAAGCATTCAATGAAGGCGGCGCCTGTCGAGGGTCGCAGGTCCGATCCTGGTCCGCCGCCCTGGACATAGTTCCACTTCTCTTCGTCAAATAGTAAAAGCCAAACCTCGGAAGGATCTGACCACGCGGGGGTCGCGCGCCTCTTGGGGGCGCGCCTGGGCTGCTTAAGAAGCCCAAAGAAGTCTGTGGTGGCGTCATCCAGATTACAGTTCTGCATTGCATTGCACCGAATCGCACAGTTGACATCCCAATCGTCGCTGTGCTCTCGCTCAAAGCGCTCCAGTAATCCGGCGGAAAGACCACGGGACACAGCGCTGAGGCCGCCGTTGGCCGCGGGCCGACACAAGAAATCCGCAATATCCTGTGCCTCGACCTGTTAAGAGCGCGCAACAAAGTAGCGTCTGTGTCTGGGACCGCGCCCCTTCCAGGCGAGTCGGCGGACCAGTTTCTGAACCGTAAAGTGATCATGAGCGCTCCAACCTGGAGCCATATCCGCTGTGAGCTCGGCATTTCTCTGCCTGGTGAGCGCACGCGAAGCATGTCTGATTCTATAAGTCACCCTGGCCAGCTGCAAGTCCACGTCCACTCGGTGGGCAGTCGGCTGGCCAATGAAACGCCCCCGAAGATGCCTTCTTTCACGACATCGTGGACTCCAGTTCCGAGAGTTCGGTTTCCTCCTTCGTCTTGCATTCGAGTGTGCCTTTAGATGAACTAGTAATAAGTGAAGCCATAGAATTCCACACCTCATCTGGAGTTGCCCTCGTACATGATTGCATTCAATCGTCATCAGAAATAGCGAGCACCGAAGAACATGATCCTGTCAAAACCCCGACGATGTCGAGGCTGCTGAAACTGTGACCGAAATCCGTATTGAAACTCAATATGTAGCAGGTGGTGGTCTCGGTCGTCCAACGCGCTGTCTACCTGCAGCCGTCGTTCTGCCTGATGAGGAATGTGGCGCTTCACAAGATGAGCGTTCAGCGCCTGTGGGGTATGAATGCAATCGATTCGAGATGTAGCCCCTGGGGTTCCGAAATAATGGGCCCCAAAGGCAAAAAGTATTGCATGCACATAAATGGTGGTCAATCAACAGTTGGCGCCAGAGCCGCCCCGCCACGCCCTCGATCTCGGCACTGTAGGGACCGATGGCCTCATACTCGTCATCCTGCGCGACGGCGGCTGGAATAGGGAAGCCCTCCCAGGTCAGATCCCGAGATGTCCCAAGTCCCTCGTTCAAATCAATTCCCAGAATCGGCGCACAGCGTGCGCCCATGGAAGAGAGGAAATGGCGAAGCCATGCAATTAGACGTTGGACAAGCTGTCGGTGTTCGGCTCGCCGTCCTCTCTCGCTCTCATGGACAGGAAAATAGATCGTAACCAAGAGTAAATCTAGAGACTCAGACTTCAGGCGGGCCGCACCACACCGACCAGCTAGCCCCGCGGGGGGCAAGTAAATGTTCTTCAGGAACCTCTGCGGAAGAATTTTTTGGTGAAGCATGATGCTAGTCCCGCATGCCTTTTTTCGATGCTCTCGAATACGCGAACGAAATATCGTAGTGCGATTTGTGACGAAACAGACTGTGATTGCCCTCTCCCTTGCGTCGGGCGGTCCCCTGCAGAAGAACTGCGGCCATGTTCGAAAACTTGGTCGAGATTTTCTCGGCCCTGGTGCCGCACATGCGCATGGGGTTGTAGGAGACCATGTGTGGGGGCTGGGCGTCGTTTTGTGTCATGTAGCGCACGGAGATGATGCCCACGATGCAAACGGCGAGGAGCCTGCGACCGTGGGGCACGACGCCCAGCACCCCCATCATGGCGCCTGCGGGCCCCGCATGCCAGCAACCATCGCTGCCGCGGCACGGGGTGCCTCTGACGTGCGCAGCAGCCGCGTGGGGTGGGGTGCCTGTGCCGTGGCGGCGGCTGGAGGGGGAGGAAGGGGAAGGGGAGGAGGAGGAGGAGGAGGAGGAGGAGGAGGAGGAGGAGGAGGAGGAGGAGGAGGAGGAGGAGGAGGAGGGGGAGGAGGGGAAGGACGAGGACGAGGACGAGGACGAGGACAAGGACGAGGACGAGGACGAGGACGAGGACGAGGACGACGACGACGACGACGACGACGACGACGACGACGACGACGACATCGGCGGGAGCAGCGGCGCCGACGGCGGTGCCGCGGCCGAAGACGGCGCCGACGACTGCGCCGAGGGCGGCGGCGCTGGCAGCGGCGAAGCCGCTGACACCAACCGCGGCGGCGGCGCGGCGCTGACGGCTGCAGCGGCGCCGGCGTCGACGAGCCGTTTGTCCAGCGCCGCGCCCGCGCGCATTAAAGGTCAGCACAACGTGGCGCGACGGCCGGGTTGCGTCCGACGGTTCGGTGGCAACTCATGGGAGCCTCCCATACAATCTTGTCCGCTCTTGCGAGTGGACGCTAGTCGGCGCTAAATCGACGCTAATCGACGCTGAATCGACGCTAATCGACGCTAACCGACGCTAAATCGGCGCTATCTCATCGGCTCCCAGACGCCAATCGACGCTAGTCGGCGCTAAAGGCGGATCTAAGAGGGTATACCAGTCTCCAATGATTTGCCACCAAACGAGTGGTATGCCAGTCCTCCGCGGACTCCCCTCGAGCGGCTGACAGAGCACGGGCCGGGCGCTGCCGGAGGTGGCCCCGTGCCCCAGCCCTTGGGGCGAAGGGCCGGCAAGAAGAGATGGCTGCCGGCGTGGGCGCCGGGTGGACTCTTGAGCGGTGAGCCTGCACAGCGTGTGGTGCAGCCTGTGGGGTGCGACCTGCGCGGTGCAAGAGGTGTGGTGCGGGCTGCTGGGCGCACTCCGTGCGGTGCGATCTATGCGGCGCAACCTACGCGGCGCCCTTTGCCTCGCGCAACCTGTGGTTCGCAAGCCGCGCTGCAATGTACGTGGCGCAAGCGCCAGCCAGTGCACGGGCCGTTTAAGCTTGAGCGATCGGCGGCCTTCCGATCGTCCGATCGTGCAACGTCGGCCGCTTCTGGGCCGCCAACGGCGTTCAACGTTGAACGCATGGCTGGGGTCGCCGCCGCGCCGACACGACATGGACCCAGCGTGCCCACCCTGATCGTGCTGAAACCGGGGAACAGCCCCACGGCGACACCGATGGCGAGTCGCGCTCGAAAATGGCAGGAACCCTTGTCGATGTTCCGCAGTTGTTGCACTGCAGAGGTAAGAACTATGTGGTGCAGGCTCTGTGGTGTAAGCTGTGCATTTCAAGATACATGGTGTGAGCTATGGAAGCGCAGGACACGGCAGGACACGGTTACGTCGCGTAACCTATGTGGTGCGAGCAGGAGGTGGAACGTATGCGGTGCACGATTCGTCGTACAAGCGCTATGGGCTTCAGAGCTGCGTGGGGCAGGCTGCGCGGCGTAAGCTCAGCGCACGGGGCGCCCACGAGCGCCCACGAGGCGGCACGGAGAGCAGCACGGCACACACACACACACACACACACACACTCGACGGACCTACCCAGCGACTGGGGCGCGCCCACGAGCGCCCCCGAGGCGGCACGGAGAGCGGCGCGGCACGGCCTCGGCGGGCCCACCCAGCGATATTGGGGCGCCCGCGGGGCGCCCACGAGGCGGCAGCGCGGCGGCAGCGCGGCGCAGCCTCGGCGGGCCCAACCCGCGCACGGGACGCTCACGGGCGCCGACGAGGTGGCACAGGGCTCCTCCTCCTCCTCCTCCTCCTCCTCCTCCTCCTCCTCCTCCTCCTCCTCCTCCTCCGCGGGAAATCCTCGGCGGACCCGTCCAACTAGTCAAGAAACCGAAGCGAGAACCTGGGGAACAAAGGGGGGGCTGGCCTGGAGCTGGTCTCAGCTGTCCTGGAGGGCAGCGGGGGGCCTGGGCCAAAGGCCGCCCTTCCATGGCTGGCCTGGGCGGGGGTCTAAAATTGCCCGTCTGGGAGAAGTGTGCCCCCCGCCCATGTGTCATGAATCCTGTAGGGGCTCGACCACAAGAAATCTTCCAAGAAACCCAACCCTGGGACCCCAGGGCGTCCATCGATATTTGGTGCGGGAGCGTCACGCTTTCCACGGCCAAAGCATCGAGACCCAAGAAACCCAGGGCACCCTGGAGGCAAGCAGGTGTGTTTCTTGGCATGGGTCTCCACTGCAACAAAGAGTGGCTCGAGGAGCTGGGCCTGGGCCAGGGTCGCCTCCGGCAGACTGCGAACGGGGGGGCGAGGCGGCGGGAACCACAGCGCGCCACTGCCCCCAACTGGGCGAGCATCCGATGGGGGGAGATCGAGGCTCCTGGATCGAGGTTCGAGGGGGGAGGAGGGAAGGATGAGGGAGGAGGAGGGGGGAGGGAGGAGGGGGAGGGCCAGGGGGAGGGGCTAGGAGGGAGGCCGGAGGAAGAAGGGAGGGGGAGGAGGAGCTCGGAACAAAAATCGAGGCTCGTGGATCAGAATTCGAAGGGGGGAGAAGGGAGACTCCAGGATCGAGGATCGAGAATCGAGGTGTTTGACTTCTTCGGCCATTCCTGTGGCCTCCAGAGGCCTCAGGGGACCTCCCAGGCAAAACTCTGGAAGCTTCCAGTGAAGCTCCGGGAGGGTCATCCCACCTCTCCTCCTCTCCACCCTCCTCATCCTCCTCCTCCTCCTCCCTCCTCTCCTCCTCTCCTCCTCCTCCTCCTCCTCCTCCACCTCCTCCTCCTCCTCCTCTCCTCCTCCTCCTCTCCTCCTCCTCCTCCCCCTCCCTTCCTCCTCCTCCCCCGCTTCTTCCCCCTCCCCTCCTCCTCCTCCTCCTCCTCCTTCCTCCCTCCTCCCCTCCTCCTCCGCCTCCTCCCTCCTCCTCCTCCTCCTCCTCCTCCTCCTCCTCCTCCTCCTCCTCCTCCTCCTCCTCCTCCTCATCCTCCTGGGAGGGGGGAGGCAGGGCGCGATGGAGAAATAAGGAGGAGGAGGAGGAGCAGGAGGAGGAGGAGGAGGAAGACAAGGAGGAATGGGGGCGGACGGGGGAGTGGGAGAATGGAGGAATGAAGAGGAAACAAGGGGAGGCCAACGACGACGAGGAAGGAGGGAGGAAGGATAGTGGAATAATGGCATGAGAGCAGAGTAGGAGAAGGAGGAGGGAAGGATGTACGTAACAAGAGGAAGAAGATGGATGAGTCAGGAGGGCGGGCGGCATGGCAGGAGAGACTGAGGAGGATGAGGGCGGGAAAGGGAGGAGGAAGGGGAGAATGAGTCGGAGGCGGAGGCGGAAAAGAGGGAAAAGAAAGAGGAGGGAGGAAGAGGGAGGACAGGCAGAGAGGGAAGGAGGACGTGGAGGAGGAGGAGAAGGAGGAGGAGAGAGAGAGAGAGAGAAAAACAGGAGGAAGAGGATGTACGAGGGGCAGAAGGGTGCCCGGATGGCCGGCGCCTCAGGAATGTATACACGAGCGTCTCAGCGGGCACTGCGAAATCCTTCTAGCGGCCGCTTCAAGAACCAGGGCTGTCCGCCGATCCCCCGTTTGCAGGGGGCGGCCAGACGTGTGAGAGGCTTCGCTGCTCAAGTGGAGGCTGGAAGATGAGCTGCAGGACCAGCATCAGCAGCAGGGGAAAGGGGAGGACGTGAACTTTAGGTTGGGTTCGCTTCCTCCTCCTCCTCCTCTTCCTCTTCCTCCTCCTCCTCCTCCTCCTCATCTTCCTCCTCTTCCTCCTCCGTTACTTTTGGAGATCTTTCGTCCTGCTCGTCGTCCCCCTCTTCTTCCATCACCCTCTGTCGCGAAACCGGGAACGGGCCACCTAAAGGCCAATACGCAGACACACACACACACACACACACACGCGCACACACACACACGCACACACAAACACATACACACACTTTCAAATCAGCGGCGCAGAGAATCCCCAGGCGCGAGCAGTCAAACATTATCGAAATCTCAATGTACAAAGCGTGCACACTGTCTGTTGCCAGTGCAGCAATGAGTGGTGTGAAGGAGGAGCTGTAATCGTACACGCACTCTCTCTCTCTCTCTCTCTCACTCACACACACACACACACACACACGCACGCACGCGCACGCACGCACGCACGCACACACACGCATGCACACACGCACGAAATCACGCACGCATGCACGCACGCAAAATATGTTTTTTCTCTCTCTCTTTCTCTCTCTCCCTCTCTGTCTCACACACGCACGCACGCACGCACGCACGCACGCACGCACGCACGCACGCACGCACGCACACGTTTCCTCCGCCGGCGACGTGGCACCACAGTCGCGATCAACCATGTAAGCGGGGAGAAAGCATCAAGGGCGGCACTCGGGGGGGGGAGAGAAGGGGCGCCAGTCGGTCGGATGGCAGGTCGGCATAAGCTTCCAGACGGTGACACCGGGGGCGGGGGCGCCAGTCGGTCGGACGGTCGGACAAACCCTCCTCGAGGGGCGACGGGGGCATGGGGGGGGCGCCAACGGGGGGGCGCCAGGCGCCAGTCTGTCGGACGGTCGGGATAAGATTCCAAGGAGACGCCAGGGCGTCTGGGGAGAGGGGGGGGCGCCAGTCGGTCGAGGGGCGGAATCAGCCTCCAAGGAGGGCGCCTGGGGAAAAACGGGGGGGGCGCCAGCCTGTCGGACGTTCGGAAGAAGCCTCTGGGGGGGAGAGGGGGCGGGCGCCGCGGGAGCGGGGCGGGGCCGCCAGACGGTCGGGCGGACGGCCGGGACAACGCTCCAGAGGGGGCGCCGGGGGAAAGGCGCGGGCGCTGGTCGGTCGGTCGGGAAAGGATGGGAGGGGGGGGAGCCACGCCCGCCAGGGCACCAGCAGGACGCTTGCAGGACAACTGCGGGGACAACTCCCCGCGTGCATCCAGGCGACCCGCCGGGACATTGCCGGGACACTGCCCAGGACGCAATCCAGCACGCTTCGGGGACATCTGCCAGAGCAGCTCCAGGACACTCTCCAGGACGCTGGCAGCATCCCCTCCACGACACGTCCAGGACACACGTGAGGACACCTTTCAGCGTGCATCCAGGTCATGCACCAGGACACCGCCAAGACACCCTCCGGGATACGGTCGGCTGCGCGGTCGAAATCATGCAGCGCGAAACCACACCAGTAGAAATGATGATTGATTGCATTGTTTTGCCAGGGGCGCAGTCTGCTTGAGGATTCGAACGAAGAGTGGGCAAGCTAGGCTGGCTGTCGCGACACGGAATGCCACCAGGAACCGTACACGAGCAAGGCTTCGAGCTGGCGAGGGCCGAAGAGAAATGCCTCGAGGTAACATGGGGTATGCATTTACGAACATTCACGCGCATCACCTACATGGTTGCACTCTTTTGTCAGAGGCTCAGACTGCTTGAGCATTCGAACGAAGCACGGGAAAGCTAGGCTGGCCAGGGCGACGGGAGTGACAGGCTCCCCAAAAGAAACACTCCAAATTTGCACTGGGATCCAACCCCGCATGTGTCTCCATCGCTCAACGGACTGCTGAACCACACATGAGCGAGGCAACGTGCCGGTTAGCATGGCACACGAAACAGGTGGGTACGCGACTTGCACTAGCGCGCTAAACTGGCCGAGCGCAAAATCCGCGAGCTCCACGCGGCGCCTCCTGGAGAAACCCATACTACCTTTGCCCCGGATGCGGGCTGCATCTCCGAAGTCCAAAGGACCGACCGCAACGCTGTAGTCCACGGCTCTTGCACACACGCGAGGGAGTCTGACAAAGAAGCGGCGGTCAGGGCGGAGCGGCAAGAACTTCTGCCAGGGGTTCTCCTCCGCTCCAGGCGTCTTCAGTATATAGCAGGAGCGTTGAGCTCGCTGCGAGACCAACGCGTTGGACCACGCGAGGCGTTCCAAATCATTACCCGCGAGGCTATGGAGCCCCATAGGACAGGCAGGGCTTCCTACAGCGGAGGGCATTTTGCAACAGCTGGTGGCTCTGCGGGCTCTAGAATAGCCGCTAAAAGGGGTCCCTGAGAAAACGAGCTTCCCCGAGCCTGAAATCAACCAGCCACGCAGGATCCTCCGGACCTTGGGGCGACCAACATGCGCGCCATGCCGAATATCCCACCCATGTACGGTTTCTGTTCTCTGCCTGAGACGTTTCCTCGACTCCCCACATCCGGAGAAGACTTCGACGCACGCGCGGATCTGTCGAGGCGCCGACCAGAATGCTGCGCCAAGGACTTGTTGAAGACGTTGGCGCAGTCTTGAAGGCCTTCCAGCCTCCTCTTTAATGCACGGCGCCTGAGCCTCTGGCGCTTGTGCCCTGGTCGCGGCTGGACCCTCGACGCCGTACGGAGTAGGGGGTGAGCTTGAGTATGCCTAGTCCAATCGCGGCGATCGCGCTCTGGAGGTCCTCTGCCAGCTCCGAGGTGGGCACAGCCCAGGAGCAGCTCGTCTGGCTCGCGAAGGCCCTGGGCAAAGGCAGTGGGGCTCAGCAGACGCTCCTGCCTCTGCAGGTCGATGGGGAACCGACAAGTCGCACTTGCTGGTCTTCGCGGGGACGTCCTACTTCGACGCCCGCTCCGCTGGAGTCAGGAAGACAGAGGCGCCGCCCTCCTCTGGCAGCGGGAGCGCGGCCTGCCTCCCCCTCGGGGCAGAACCTCCTCCTCCTCCTCCTCCTCCTCCTCCCTCCCTCCCTCCCTCCCTCCCTCCCTCCCTCCCTCCCTCCCTCCCTCCCTCATCCCTCCCTCCCTCCCTCTCTCCTTCCGCAGTGGACCTGCCCAGCGGCCCCCCCACTCAGCACTCGGCACGACCAGCCAACTACGGCCAGCACCACGAGCGGCCAGGACCTGCGCGACCCCAGCACGCGCCCCAGCCCTTGAGCGCCCGGTGGGCCAGCGGGAAGACCTCGCGGACCCTGGCCGCGCGAAAAGCTCGGCGCACTCCGCGAGGGTCTCACCCCAGGCCCGGCGGTTCCAATCCAGGAGGCGGCCCAAGCCCAACCAGAGCACCGGCCCAAGGATCGCCCCGAGTCGGCGCGAAGACATGGCAGAAGCGCCTTGGACCCAGCCCACTCCCGCGCCACGCTCTCATAGGGGGGCTGCAGCGTGGAGCAACAAGCCCGCGCGAACTCGCACGCGGAGCGCAGCATGGCAAGCCCCTCTCCAGCGCAGCATGAGAGCAACAACGATGTGCCCGATAAGGCGCTCGGGCTCCTGGCCAGACACCTTGACCGCACGTTGGGGATAACAGACGCCACAGCCTGCGGCCGACGACTCGCCTGCAGCCAGTGCGCGGGACCAGCTCGCAGCCAAGCAGCTCGCCGCGCCCCCCAGAGGCAGGGTCCAGCTCCGAGATCACGCCCTTGGCCGCCAGGGCCGCCTTCATGTCGGCGGCAGCAGAGGCGGCGCGGTCGGACGAAGCAGACAGAGTGGCGAAGTTGTCGATGTGTAAAATTTCACTGGCATCATCTGTCTCTAAGTCGATCCGGGGCGCATATCCACCACCGCGGCTGAGGGGGCAGGACCGACCTGACGGCGTGAAGTGCGCTAATTGAATAAGACGCACTGCCAAACTTCACATCCCATGGAAAGCACCTGGAAACAAAAGCGCGCCCGGCCGCTCTTTGCCGACAGACCACGCGCGCTCCGAACCGAAAGCAGCAGGAAGCGGCTGTCGAAAATCGGCAAATTGAAACAGCGCCTGCACCAGGGCGACAATGCGCATTGATATAAACAGCAATCAGCGTCTCCAGAACTTACCCCAATCACCTGCACCCCCGCTGCCTCCAACAAACACAACACCTCGCCCGTCGCGAGGGCTGGCCGCATGGTCAAGAACCGTGAAATGCACGCTCGGAGTCCCAATGTCGCACATGGGACGCAGCCGCGAGTCTTTGCGAGCCGCAAAAAAAACCTGCCGCCTCCAGCACCGGCTCCGAGCTACGTTCG